AAAATGGTAAGGATTTTGATGTTGAAATGTATAGAGGTATGATAAGATCTCTTCTATATCTTACTACATCTAGGTCTGACATAATATTTAGTGTGTGCATGTGCACTCGGTATCAATCTGCTCTTAAGGAATCAACTTGTCGATATTTTCATAAAACCTCTTACAACTGAGCCAATTTTCAATATTCGTAGGGAATTGGGCATTCTCGATATATCAAATATTGCCTAAATATCATGTTGCATGCACTTGTTACATTTTTTTTTCAATTTTCATTGGAAAGTTTATTTTCATGTGAGTGCATCCTCCGTCTCTCATCCTACGAGGTAATATTGTTTCACTTATCTCTTTGCTCTTAAGTTTTTGTATTTTTTGTTACTTATCTATGTCTATTTTATTTGATTGCATGTTTATGTTCAAAATGTGTGTGTCGTACCTCGAAAAATACGATCCTCGCGATGGACGCAGAAAATGCGTTCGAATAGAGTCGCCACCGAACTTTATTCATTCCATGAAAGGAATAGAAAAATATCGATAAAACCTTTAAATAGATAAGAACATGGTCATCGCAACCGATATTCTAGGTTCGGGAGTCGGTTACGTAAAGGGAAGGTATTAGCACCCTCTACGTCCGTTGTACTCAACGGGAACCTCTTGATTTGATTCGTGAGAGAAGTTTGCTACGTTTGTTTATCTTCTAAAGGATTTGCTTACTAATGCGAAAATGGGTGGTTTATGAATAGGGTGCTCGCCAAGGATTGGGGCCCTTGTGCCTATGTACTCCCTCGTGCAATGGGAAAGTCAGAGCATCGTAGTTCGTGGGACTACGGGAAAAGGAGGGAATTGTGCTCGCCAAGATCATCGCAATCTTGTGCCTACGTATCTTACATTCAAAGAAGAATGAAGAATCAGAGCGGTCGTAGTTCGGCTAACTATGGTAAAAGGTTTATAAACGAACGAGTTTTTAGGTTGCATTCTAATTGCTAAACGTTGGCTTGTCTGCTGGCTAGGGGAGGCTGAAGCACTAGTTTGTTATGCGCGAAAGAAGGGACAAAACAATGTTCTTTGGAAAAGGTGTATGAGTTGAACGAGAGTTTAGGTTGCATTCTAACTGCTAAATGTTGGCTTGTCTGCTCGCTAGGGGAGGCTGAAGCACGAGTTCATATGCGCGGAAGAATGGACTAAAGAATGTTCTTTGCAATAGAGTTGTTTGAGTTGTAGATCGCACGGGGGTGAGGAATTAGTGTTTGATTTGTTAAGTATTTTTGTTTGGAAAAGAGGGTAGGTTTGAATAGGTTATTTAGGATTTTGGTCGCACGGGGGCGAGAAAGAGAGTTTAATGTTTAGTTAGAGGTGACGACTACCTAAAGCTTAAGAAAGACTTCTCGGGCCCAAGTAATCGGGAGAGTGAACCAAAGACTTGAAGCTCTCTCTTTTTCAACCTCAAATATGAAGGAATAGAATGTAGTTCGAGTATGTTAATCGGATGACGATTACTTGAAGCTTAAGAAAGACTTCTCGGACCCAAGTAATCGGGAGAGTGAACCTAAGACTTAGAGCTCTCTCTTTTTCATCTAAGTGTTGATGGAAATGGATATGGTTCGAGTGAGTGGATCGGATGACGATTACTCGAAGCTTAAGAAAGACTTTTCGGACCCAAGTAATCGGGAGAGTGAACCAAAGACTTGGAGCTCTCTTTTCATCCCAAAGAGTGGTTGTGTTTGGAAGGCTTTGAACGATGGGATGTGGTTAAAGTATTTTAATGGATGAGGATTACTCGAAGCTTAAGAAAGACTTCTCAGACCTTAAGTAATCAGAAGAGTGAACTATAGACTTGGAGCTCTCTCCTTTTCTCATCTAATATTATGAAAGATGTTTGATATGATAGAGTGTATTAATCGGATGACGATTACTCGAAGCTTAAGAAAGACTTCTTGGACCCAAGTAATCGGGAGAGTGAACCAAAGACTTGGAACTCTCTCTTTTTCATCTAAGTGTTTAGGAAAATAGATTTGAATTCGTTTATTGTTTTTTAGAAGACAATTGTTCGAGCTTAAGAAAGACTTCTCGGACCCAAACAATTGGGAGAGTGAACCAAAGACTTAGAGCTCTCTCTTTTTTATCTTTATTGAAATTGTATTTAAGTAGTTATTAAGTGTTTTAATTTGATTTGGAAAAAAGCTCGATGTGAATCGAGGATTAAGTTTGCGTGTCGAACGAGCAAGATTGAACTAATGGATAGGAGATCCTATGGGTATAGGGTAAGGTCGATGGCGAGGCCAAGGCGCTCGACTTACAAGGAGTGTGGGAGGACTTGACATAATCAAGTGTTTAAGGAAAGTTAAAGGTTAATTGCATTTGGTTTAAAGATACTTGAAGTTGGATCAAGTTTGGAAAAGAATTTGATTTTAATTTTATATGTGAAGTGTGTAGCAAGCGTCGTTGTACAAAGCTCAAGAGGAGGCTATAAGGTCGATGGCGATCATAAAAACAATCGACTTACAATGGTATTTGAAAATGGACTTGACATTAAGTCAAAATATTAGTTTGAAAAGTAGGCTTGAACAAGCAACGCAATGAATAACATAAACACAATTGAGGCATGATAATAAAAACACGTATAAACATCACAAGAAAAAACGTAAACTAAATAAAATGGGGGATAGGCTAATCAAGACATGCTAACCTAATTAACAACCTACTTATCTAAGGTTAATAAAAGAAAAGAATTCAAATTAAATTATTTTAGATTATTTTTAAAAATTAAAGAAAAGATAGATCATTAAGATAATTATTAAATTAAAATAGAATTTTAAAAATAAAATTAAATATTTTTGTGTGGTCTTAGAATAAATAAAAAAGCTAATTTCAAACAATTAATCAAATTAAAATTAATTATTTAATAATATTAATCATTAAGTAAATTAATTATTATTAAATAAAAGATTTTAATTAAATTAATTAAATAATAATTCAAAATCTTCTTAAGAAAAACAGAAAATTAAATAATTTTTTTTAAAATTTTTGTTTTAAGAAATATTAAAATAAATAATAAAATATTAGTAAATAAATAACAAATGGGCCAGTATTCCAGCAAAAGGAGGGTGCGGTCTGAACCTCACCCAGGCCCATAACAATTAAAGCTCACACAGAGGGAGAGAAAGGGTTCACGGTGAACCCTTGGTCAGCCTAATATCCACCCGCAAATCTGGACCGTTGATCCTCCATCCAACGGTTGAACGAAAGGGTGCATGTGAAGCCTAATAGGGACACACACACGGGGGACACGTTGGGAAACTCCCACCGCCCAAAAAGATTATGGGAGCAAATTCCAACCAAGTGATTAATACACGTGGGGAACTCTCAAGAAAAAAAATCTCCCCTCTCACTAAAATGCAACGGTCGGGCCCTTTATCTTCCCTAACATATTTCCTTTTCTCAAAAAAACAAAACAAACTTAAATCCTCTTCACCTCTCTCTCAAAACTCTTACGAATTCTTCCCTAATCCCTAACTTTATCGCTCCTCTTCTTTCTCAGAATCAACTCAAACATTTAACCCTCTTCATTCCTCTCCACACAAAACCCGTGGATCTTCTCCCCAAATCTCTAACCTTATTTTCCAGATCTAACCCTAAACCCAATACACAACAAACCTTATACTTTCATCGATTGAAACCCAAATCTAAAAAATACAAACAGAGCGACAATCGAACCCAAAAGAAAAATATGCGCAAGAAAAATATCTCAGAGGATTCAATACAGCTACAGACGAGGCGATAAAGCTAGTACCTGGTGGACGATTCCGGTGATTCTTCTCCGTTGGTGTCGAATTAAGCCTTCTGTCACTCTTCTGCTGAATTTCTCCTTCGGTAAAAGTTGTTTTTTATGAGGGATTTTAGGGTTGTCGCCGCAGAATTTTTAGGGTTTTCTTCTTCTTTTTCTTGAATGAACAGTGTGTTATATATAGAGTCTGATACGTGCGAAATTATGGCAAAGCCTAGAGGATATCGTGTGAATTTGGGGTGTCCTTCTTGCAAAAATTGGGCTACTTTTTGGTAGTGGGGGTGAGGACTGACGTTGTGGAATTGAAATCGTACGAATTTTGTCGGTAGCAGCTTTTTTTTGAAATTATCTGCTTTTTTACCCTGATTTGCGAGAGGATACTTTTTACCTTGATTTTCACCATGTAAATTCTTTGGATTATTTACTGTGTAAATTGTGGTTTTTACTAAGATAAAATTACTAATGTATAATTATTTGTTTTAACTGAAAACAACCGTTAACCTTTGCTGCTATAATTTATTGAGCAAAATGTTGCCAGAAGTCTTACTGTTGGTTTCTTTTTCTTGCAGAATACACGAGGACAACGCCAATTCTTACAATGTGTTTGCTACTTCACGCTCTGGCTTCAGAACTGATATGCTACTTGTGACCAGGTTGGATGAGCTGCTACTCTCAGCTAAGGAGTCTCGACAAAAGCAACAACACCACCACAAATATTTCCTTTCACTTTTCTTCTATTGCAATTGTTTCATTCAGGAACTTTGGTTTGCATATGACACCTATTGACATGACAAAAATGTTTTTCGCAGTTGTGGTCGTAGGCTCGGTTGATGCATTCAAAGGTTCCCATCATAAGTACTACAAACTCCACCTCATGGGATTTGGAGGGGAGACTGAACATTTTGCTCATTCGACCACTTGCTTCTCCCATTTGCTAGGTGAGTTTGAATAGTTTTTTCTTTTTATTCTACTTTGGTTCATGAATAGAAACTTTTGAATTCGGAATGTAATTGTGCCATACCAAGATGCGAAGACCTGACCACTCCTAATTGTGCAGGTTCATGACCGATGGCTGAGAGTGTTACGACACGTAATTAAGTCATGACGGGTATGTGCCGTTAGCTGCTACTTTGCGTCGTGCTTTTGTTCATCGTGTATAAGCATGCGTGGTATTCTCTCTAACATCATCCTCTAGAACTGCATCCTTAGGACGTTGACAATGCCAGCATCAGTCAATGTCGTAAACACAATTTTTGGTAATATGTCTCGCAGCTTAGCTAACGAACTCTTGTTTGACATATTTCTTATCTGTTGACATTTGCTTGTGTTGCAGTATTGTTAGGAAGCAACGACAATGGCCATGAACCTAATGAAGTGAGGTTGTTGAGTAATCAAAAGACGGAGTGTTATGATTGCTGCAGAAGACTGAAGGCGACACTATCTCTACTACGAACATCAGAAAGTGTTGTTTTTTGGTGTGTGCCAATCCCAAATTTTGGTAGCATTTTATCTTAGAATTTGAATTCCACAATTGTTGTTAAGAATTTTTTGGGAGCTTTGTGACGGTTTTGGCATGGTGCGAAACAAAAACGGCAGAAAACTGGTGAAAGCTTTGTACCAGGAACTTATAGTTTGCATTTTGATAGAACATACCTAGCTGAAGCTTTCATTGCTTTTCTTATGATGTGTACCTTGAAATCTTGTATTTGACTGAAATGGGCATACATTATTTAGGCCTCATGATCTTATGACTTATGCAACCTTTGTATTCAAATATAAACCATAGGGTGTACATTTTACATTCTCCATTGCCTCATGTATTTGCAACTCTTTTGTACTCTCCTAATTCAAACTATTTATCCTTTGTAACTTAATAATGTAATGATTTTTGCAATTAATCTCAAGGCCAAATGAGCTTTATGGACATGTTATATCCAATTTAAATTTGATACTCCAATTTCAAATAACAATTAAAGGCTTTAAAATCACGTTTCTTCCATATAAGTCTCAAACCTCATTATCCTAAATTCTGAAACAGGCCCCTTGAGGCTTACGCTTGCATTGGTTCGGCAATAGGGGCTTTGCATTGATCATGACACAAAAGGATTTAGTTAACCACTAATTGTAATACGTTCTCAAATTTTAGTTACACGTCTTGCCTTTGAAATGAATAGTAGTGTGATCCGAGCATTACTCTAAATAATGACCTCTTCTCGGCTTGACGTCATAACTTGGGATTTTGGAGTAATTTCAATCATGTATTGAAGAAAAGGCCCTCACCATAGTTTTGCATTGGATTGAAGCATCACTTAAAGTGGCATTGTTCATAGCTCACGAGCACAGATCAAATTTATGGCAATCTAATTTATCATCAACTTGATTATGTCTTAACCTATCGACCATAAGGATTCGTACTTCTTTTTGCTTCCGATTTAGCACATTTTTGTAAGGACTTGTGATTATACCAGACCAAGCAAAACCTTCACAATCTAAACTCTAAAATCTCATGGCCTGAGGCCAAATGATCGTTCAGGGGAAAATCATGAATCCATACAAATGCTTGATACAAGAGCAAGAGAGGGTAGGACAAATTTGGGGTATGATAGTGTGATATTGTTTTATGTATGATACGATACATGTCTGCTCATTTCCAAAAATTTAATTGATAACCCTTAAATGTTTCAATCCATATGTTTATAGTGACATCATGTTTTTTTCCATCATCATATGTATTTCATACTATTAATTCTTCAAGTTTGAAGTATTTATGTTGTTATTAAAGATTGAGCATATTATTTATCTACTCTTGCATGAAACGTGTCATTTTTGTATGAATTTCTCCAAGTCCACAATGTATGCCTTGACTAAATCCATCTTAAGTCTACCAAAGTCTTAATTTTTCAAATTTTTGTCTCTGCCTAGTATGTATTGATACATAGAGGTTTCAAGTCAATGCACAAATAATTACGACTCCAATCACGGATGAGTCAACACATAACTTAAGTTTCAATTTTTTGAACTCTCTGTTCAGTATGTATCGACTCCAATCATGGACGAGTCGATACATAGCTTAAGTTTCAACTTTTTTAAACTGTTTGTTCAGTATGTATCAAATCTAATCACAGATGAGCTGATACATTCGTTTTTTTGTTATTTGTTTAAGTCGACTCCTTCTAGACTGGGTCGACCCATGTATTACCAAAAGTCTCCTTTTCTCTCTCCTTGCATTTTGACTACTCTTAACCACTCATTTACTATTTTTTTCAAACTTCTCCTCATTTCCAAGACAATCTAGGTTAAATTTTTCCCTTTCTTAGAAAAACCCCTTCACTTCTCATAATTTCAAAATCTCTATAAAATTCCATCACTTCTCGTTTCCAACAATCACTTGTCTTAATATATTATCTCCTAACTTGTGTGATCAGAAATTAATTCTCATAGATTAGGTAGCTTAGTTTCTCTTATATCATTCAAAATATTGACATTTTCATTCACTCATTTTGTCAAACGCCTTATGCGCCTTCAAATCTGAAATTCATGGCTCCCAAAGTGAACAAAGGCAAGAAAGTTGTGGGTACTTCCTCATCCACACATGTCCCTGCTCTCTCGCTGCTACATCACTCATGTGTTACAAATTTTGAAAAATCCTTCAGAAATAGAATTGTAGCGAAGCATCATGTCTATGATCCTGCGGTTGCTACTAAGTTACATATTCCATATATTGTTGATCTTATGGGATATCACGAGATTAATTTTTTTTGAAAGACTTCACTAATTATAATGAAGACTTATTAATACAAGTATTTTATGTTAGGTTACAATCAAGGGAAGGATGCTCTTTTCGTTTTCATATGGGAAGCAATTCCTATCACTTTACGCCAGATTTATGGAAGGAAATGTTTGAAATTAATGTGCTCTTTCATGACACAACTCTGTCTAATCATGATTATCATTGTGATTTTAATTTGAGAAGTTACCTCAACTCTTGTCTCAAAGCACCAAGGTCAGAAGACAACCTGGATATAGTGTTAATGGGACATTTGAAGAGAAACCCTCGTCTTCTTCATTGGATTGTCACTCATGTTTTGCATCCAAGGAAAAAAGGTCATTCTCGAATTGAAACAGCTAAGGTACATATATTATTCATAATAAACTTAAGATTAATTGTCAAAACTATTTTGTGTCAAGAATGTTTGTTGTTAGATATTATAACAAAGGGTTTTCCTTGTGTTATGTTTCAATGATTGCAAAGGTTCTTAGGCACTTTCGTATTGGTGTACCAAATCTTTAAAACATATCACCTGGGTCTACATGAGGTACCGTTGGGATGACAATCTTAAGGTTTATTATTATAAGACGAAGGGATCCAATAAGCTCATCTATAATTATGATGATCTTGCTGAATTTGGTACAATAAATGTTGATGAACAATAGGTGGAAAAAAAATTCAACATGTGGATAGGAACATGGTTGATACTCACCATGATGATGATGATCTTGTTTGGCAATGTGATGAAGAGCAACATGAAGACCCACATGGGTGGGGTCAGTGGCAACAAAATTCTTGGAACCAACATGGAACGACTTATAGTCACTACTCTGGTGTTGACTCAAGTGGTGAAGAATCATCTATTATCACCTTGCTAAAAAACATGTGTGTTAAGCAACGGGAGCTCCATGAAGAGGAGTCACGTAGGCGTGATGCGTTTAAAGTTACTCAAGAGGAAGGCTTCAGATTGGTTTACAAAGATCTAGATGCCCAAGATATAAGCTTCAATAGTTTTGCAACGTATGCCACTCAACAATTTAATAAAATCCGAAAAAATATGGAATTTAATCATAGTTCCACTCAAACTTGTACCAACAACATGATTTTGTTTCGAAATGATAATCACCATCACTATCAATAATTTTAAAAGGAAATATGAGATTTTATGGATTATCAATCAGTATGGTAACCAAGATTAGGCATGGTGTCGTGGATGGCGACCAGAACCTAGGGGTGGTCATTAGCATAATATGGATCATATGCATTTGTTGAGCTTTATTATGGACCATGTCTCTTTTGCATGCATTTCTGTTTTCATGTTTTTATGTTTATTTATATGTTATATTGTGATTTTTTATGAAAATTTTGTAATGAACTTCATCTCTTTTGTCTATATTGTTTGCTTGTTTATGTTTATGTATTTTTCACCTTAACGTAATTTTATGTGAGTGCATGTTATCGTCGGGCACTTAATCTTTACAACACTTTTGAGTGATTTATATGTTGTTGTGTACTTTCATTGATACTTCTCACGTTTTGTACCTTTGTCTATTTTTGACGTTGTCAAAGGGGTTGAAGTTCATGTAAGAACAGGGTCTTAAGATGCACATATTCAGGGGGAGCTATGGCCAAGACGACAAATACTTCGTAAGTTTTGCCATCATAAAAAAAGGGGAGTATGTTAGTGCACTATCCTCTTAAAAAATATTTTGAATGATGTCAAAACTAGGATACTTAGTATTTGTGTACATTGGATCTTATTGTCTATGTGTGAATATGCATTATCATATTAGGACAATTAAAGTTAGGTTAGACAGGCCATTACAAGTCAAAATTATGATTTTTCATGAAAAACATGTCTGAGTCGATACATCAAGTCTATGGTTCGATACATATTGAAGGATTCTTAAAATAACAATTTTTCCTTCAATGTATCGATACATAGGAGCCTTTGGTCAATACATAATATGTATGATTCGACTCATCTGTGTTTAGAGTCAACTCTAGCTAAAGGTTTTTGCAAGCCAATGGCTCTGCCTTAATTGTATCGACTCCTAGATTCTTTGCATCAACTCCCAGGCTTATGTATTGACTAATACTTGTTTGGCGCCAATACATTTTGTTCTACTTTAGAAAACATGTAATTTTTTTTGCTAAAAGTATGTTTTATTTGTTATTCTTCTACGCACACATACATATAAATATGCATTTATGCCTCATTTCTCGACATTGAAACCAAGAACATACAAAGATTTTTGTCATCATCTTCAACCTTTTCTCTTCATATATTCAACAATTACACATAATCATTTTTGTTGAGTGTCATCTAGATTAGATTGATAAGGTCCAATTTAGGATTTTTTTTAATCAAATTGGGTTGAGTATTCTTTAGGGGTTTCAGTGATAAAACTGGTTATGGTTTTCCCTCCAAGATCAAGGATTGATTTTATGGGTTTTTGCATAAGATTTCGCAATGAGGAATCAGCTGAGTAAAAGCTTTCAAGAATGGGGGCCTGTCAAAGAAGTAGTGGTAACCATAGGATCATCTTGGAAGTCTTGGATCACTTGATCTTGCTTAAGACCAAAGAGAGAGAAGAAGTTAGAATAAACATCAAACATATGGTTTGGGGTTTAGATTGCTACTTTTTCTCTTGTTTACAACTCTTACAAAGGTTGATTACATATCTCAATCCTATTTGGAGTTAGGGAAAACGTACCCATACTGAGGAAAATTAGGGAACTGCCT